GAGAGAGAGAGAGAGAGAGAGAGAGAGAGAGAGAGAGAGAGAGAGAGAGGGAGGGAGGGAGAGGGAGAGAGAGAGAGGCTGGGGGAAGCATGGGACCTGACACAGGGATGGCTGACAGAAGGTGCCAGCACCCAGGCCCGGGGGACGACAGTGGAGGTGGCTGTCACACAGGAGGGCCCTAGTGCCATGACTCAGGAAGGCGCCCTGCTGGAGGGTAGAGGCAGAGTGCTGCTGTCTGTACCCTGCTTAGGGGCCCAGCTCCTGAGCCCTCGGCCTGGGCTCTGGTGTCCCTCCTGTCACCTGTACCACTGCCTTTCTCCCCGTCCTCTGCTCTCCCGGCTACGCACAGCCGTCAGCCCAGGTACCCCAGGTGCAGGGACCTGAGCAGGATGGCGCTGGCCTGTGGTGGGACTCCTGTGCCCTGAACGCGCACCCCTCCTCTCTGCAGTCCGCCAGTTGCTCGAGAGTGGGGTCAGCCCTGACCTGGCCAATGAGGACGGCCTGACCGCCTTGCATCAGGTCAGCCTCGCTGAGGGTGTGAGGAGAGGACGGGGCCCTGGCCTGTGGCTCCGGCACTCAGGCCACGTGCTTTGCAGAGCTGCATTGATGACTTCCGGGAGATGGTGCAGCAGCTCCTGGAGGCTGGGGCCAAGGTCAATGCCCGTGACAGTGAGTGCTGGACACCCTTGCACGCCGCAGCCACCTGTGGCCACCTGCACCTGGTGGAGCTGCTCATTGCTGGGTAGGGCCCGCTGGGAGCAGGTGTGGCTGGAGTGGGCATCTCTATCAGGGAGGGGCTGCAGCTGGGCCAGGGCCAGGTAGGACCTTCCTTGCAGTGGGTAGTTCATCCGGAGACACCGCCCAGGCATCTCATCTCTGTGGGAAAGTGTGCCTGGACCCTGGCCTCTTGTGTTCCCACTGACCTTTGCTGACCCTGCTGCACCCTGGTGTGCAGAGCGGGACCTGGGCCGAGACCACGGATGCTGCCACCCCAAGGGAACTAGCACATACTCAGGGCAGTGTGGTCCTTCGCCTGCCAGGCTGCTCACACCACGAAGAGCGTGGAACTCCTTGAGGACAGGCCTTGATCTCCTGCTCTGGTCTCCTGGCCTTCCCAGGGTCTGCAAAGAGAAATGCCGTTCTGGTCAGAGCCACGAGGGAGAAATTGGCAAGGGGGGAACACCTGGACACAGGTGGAGCCGTTAACAAGGAGGGCAGAGCAGGGCTGGGCTCTTGAACACTTGCCTTGGTGAATGGAGAGGGTGGTCAGCTTCACCAGGATCCAGGAGTCCCCCACTGGCTGGCCTTGGAGCAGTCCAGGCAACAGTGGTGGGTGTGTGGGTGGATGGCGGTGGCTCCCATTTGCACACAGATGCCCTGGAGTGGGACGGGCTGGGTGTGCAGTGTCACGGGGCAGCAAGGGGGTGCGCACAGGCAGCCCCTAGCCCCGCTCCGTGCCCCTCCACAGCGGGCACCCAGCCTTGTGTTTCAGGCCCTCCTTCAGCTCCCCACAGTGCTCTCCTGACACCCAGGCTCTCTCCCCACCACCTTCTGCTGCCTGGGGCCCCCAGAGACTTGGCACCCCTTCGTGGCAAGTGGGCCCACTGTACATATTCATGGGGGCAGAGGGGTGCCAGGAACCTGAAAAATCAGACATGGTGGAGACTGCAGGACAGCCCACCTGGCCCCAGGACAGCATCCAGGGCCAAGGGGCTGCCTCTCACTGTGGCAGGTGAGGCCTGGGCCCCTCTGAGGCAGCCCTTGGTGGAAGGCCTCTGAGAGGGTCCCGGGGGCCTCCGCTGGGAGAGAAGGGCCCTGTGACCAGCGCTCCGTCCACCCTTCCCGCAGTGGTGCCGACCTCCTGGCAGTCAACACGGACGGGAACATGCCCTATGACCTGTGTGAGGACGAGCAGACACTGGACTGCCTGGAGACAGCCATGGCCAGCCGTGGTGAGTGCAGCCCTGCCTGCCTGCCTGCCTGCCTGCCTGCTGGGGCAGCAGGGTGCGGGGCGCGGGGCGCGGCGGGTGGTGTGCTGGGGGTGGAGCTCTGAGCCCACTGCCCCACAGGCATCACCCAGGACAGCATCGAGCGGGCCCGGGCCTTGCCCGAGCTGCATATGCTGGAGGACATCCGGAGCCTGCTGCAGGAGGGGGCAGACCTCAATGCCCCCAGGGACCATGGCGCCACGCTGGTGAGGACGGGGCCGCGCGGGACCCAGGCAGGGGAGGCTGCTGCCGGCCAAACCAGGGCCGGGACTCAGGGGCCGGCGGTTTGCCTGCAGCTACACATCGCCGCGGCCAGCGGGTTCGGCGAGGCGGCTGCCCTGCTGCTGGAACACGGGGCCAGCCTGAACACCAAGGACCGCGACGGCTGGGAGCCACTGCACGCAGCGGCCTACTGGGGCCAGGTGAGCGCCTGCGGGGCGGTGGGGCCGGGCGGGCTCGGCGGCTCCGCAGGCTTCAGCAGCCCGGGCTCGCCGGCCCACAGGTGCACCTGGTGGAGCTGCTCGTGGCACACGGGGCTGACCTGAACGGCAAATCCCTGATGGACGAGACGCCTCTCGGTGAGCCTGGGGCCGCATCCTCCCGGTGTAGGGGGTGGGCGGGCGGGCGCCCGTGACCCTCTGGCTACTCCTCCTCAGACGTGTGCGGGGACGAGGAGGTGCGGGCCAAGCTGCTGGAGCTGAAACACAAGCACGACGCGCTCCTGCGCGCCCAGGGCCGCCAGCGTTCTCTGCTGCGTCGACGCACCTCTAGCGCCGGCAGCCGGGGGTAAGTGCCTGCCCCTCCCGCCAGGCCCACGCGGGCCCGCCCAGTGCCCCACCCCCTGGCCCTCAGCCCCCCTCTGCCCTCCCCTCGCCCCTTGGGCTCTGCCCCGGGCTTTGTCCCTGCTGAAGTCAGCTGGCAGGCCTCCGTGCCCGCCGGAGCTCGGGGCAGAGTCCGCAGGGAAGGCGGTGTCCCCCCCCCCCCCACTCCTCCTGCCCGCCCCCTCCCAGGAAGGTGGTGAGGCGGGTGAGCCTGACCCAGCGCACCAGCCTGTACCGCAAGGAGCACGCCCAGGAGGCCATCGTATGGCAACAGCCCCCGCCTACCAGCCCGGAGCCGTCCGAGGAGGATGAGGACCGCCAGACAGACGCGGAGCTCCGGCGGCCGCCCCCAGAAGTGAGCCCCGCCCAGCCGTGCCCCGCCTCCCTCCGTACCAGCCTCAGGAGCTGGTGGGACCAGTGGCCCTGCCCCCATATGCAAGACTCGCGCCCCGTGGGCGTCAGCTGCCGCCCCCACCCACGTTTCTGCCCTTGGACCGCCACGCAGCCCGGGACCCCAGGCCAGAGGGGACCCTCCTGATGGCCTCCGGGGCCTGTGCTCCCCACACAGGAGGAGGAGCCAGAGGCGGCCAAGCAGCACAACGGCCGAGTGGGGGCGCCCCCCGGGCGGCACCTGTACTCCAAGCGGCTGGACCGAAGTGTCTCCTACCAGCTGAGCCCCCTGGAGAGCACCACCCCTGACGCCCTGGCCCAGGCCAAGGCCCCCCACACCCTGGCAGAGCTGAAGCGTCAGCGGGCTGCCGCTAAGCTGCAGCGACCCCAGCCTGAGGGCCTCGAGGCCGCTGAGTCTGAACTGCCTGTGGACACTGAGACCCCCCCGCTGGAGTGTGGCTCTGGGGCTGGTGGAGACCCACCCCTGCTCAGACTCACAGCCCCCTCAGAAGAAGCCCGCGTGGAGAAGAGGCCGTGCTGCCTGCTCATGTGAGGGACTGGCGCCTGGGTGGCCAAGGTCCCACTGCCAGGCCCAGGGCCGCTGCTCTGCGTGCCACAACGTGTGTTCCGGGCTAGGCTGCCAGCCGCCTCCTTCCTCGGGGACGGACCTGTGGCAGAGGCTGTACCTGGGAAGCACCTGGCTGCGGAGACCTACTTTCATTCTGTGACTCTCAATAAAGGGCCGTTCTGCCACCTGCCCTGTCGTGTGTCTCAGCTGGGCCCCTACTGCCATGGTGGGGAGCTGCTGTGTTGCTGGGCCTGGGTGCGCCTGGCCCTGTGAGCACCTAAGGGCTATGGGCACGTGCTGGGGCTTGCTTGTGGTGCCCAGCCCCTGTGTGGGCGTGAGGCCCACGGCCCCTGGCAAGAGGTCTAGTGCCTCCTGCGCCCTGCATCCGCAGCCTCCTGGAGACGCCTCTGTAATTCTTTGCTTTCTTCAGGGGAACAGGGAGCTTCAGAAGGACACTCCTTGTTGGCCAGGGCCAGGGGTGTCCATGCTGGAGGAGCAGGGATCCTGGCTTGGAAAAGGAGAGGGTATTTTCCATAAGACCCTTGGGCAACAGCCAGAGGGTCAAAGTGGTACAAGGCTAGCGTCAGACGCCTCCCTGGTGGGGGGCGGGTTCCCCGTTACTGGCATGCAGCCCCGATCTTGGGGCCTGGCTGCCAGCTTCTGCTCAGGCTGGCAAGCAGGACCAACAGTTGGCTGCTGAGGCTCTGAGCTGACCAGGCACGATGTGTCAGGGTGACAGGGCCCCTTTGGGGCCTCACTTGGGAGGGCTGGGGCACTGCCAGCTCATCTGTCCAGGGCAGGTTGCTTGGCATGGCCACCAGTGCTGGGTGGCATGGGCTTGGGTCACCCTCTCCGCTGGACATTGACCTGGTCAGCCCAGTGTCCACAGGCCCCCCCGTCCCTGAGCATCCATGGTTGGAGGGGTGTCCTCAGCACAGCGGGGGCGGGGGGGGGGCCGCGGGGAGGCTGCTGGTTAAATTTAGAGTGTGGGGGGGTGCACTGCCCAAGGTCCACTTTGCCACCACAGCTGCCACATGGCCCTGCTGCCAGGGGGCGGGCGGGGCCTGGCTCTGCCTGTGGCTAGGCCCATATTAACCTGTTCTCCAGCCCGGGGCCTAGAGAGGCCTGCACACTGGGAGGTAGAGGTGACAGCGGCAGCAGCAGAGCAGGAGACACAGGTGAGAGGCTGCCGTCTGGCCTCCCGTTTCCTCTCCAGCCGGCAGGAGCAGAGGGGCCAAGCCTTCCCCAGGCCTGACCAGCCACCCACAGCCCCGCTCAGCTGAGAGGGCTTGCTGCTTCCTGACCCTCACTGCGGAGCCAGATCCTGGTGCTGGGGTGGCCACCGCTGGGCATGGCCTATCAGCTCCCTGCAGGGCCTGTGGAGGTGGGGCCCTGAGGGCTTATCACGGCTCGCTTCCCACTCTCTCCACCAATCATGAGCCACAGGGAAGGGAGGCTTAGGTCACCCTGCCTGTGGTGTGGCCCCAAGGGCAGCCCCAGGCTGGTGTGTGTTTGGTGAAAGGGCAGGACAGCAGTCCAGAGCAGCTGAGGTGTCCAAGGGCCCTGCGAAGGCCCAGAGCTGCCCTGCCCCTCCCCCAACACCCCAACCCAAAGACTCCAGCCTTGCAGCACTGATGGGGGACCGAGGTCCAGCCCCAGGGCTCTTGCTGCCCCGGGTCATGGTCCCCAGCACAGGAGGGGCCAGATGGAACCCCCGCATCTGAAGCCTCACTCCCCTCCCCAGACAGCCCCAGGATTCCTGAGGCCTGGCTCAGTTACCTGGGAGACAGGCCTACTCTGCTGGCCCCAGCAAAGGGGGGGGGGGGTCCAAAAGGGTTAGGCCTCGGCCGTGCCCTGCTGGGGTAAATGTCCAGAGGCCCAGGCCTCACCCTCCCCTCCAGGTTCAGCTCTGCCAGGCTCTGCCAACCCCTCAGGGCACTCAGCCCACCTCCCCTCCCCCAAGCCTAGTCCCTCAGAGCTGCTGGACCCTTCCGTCTGTCCCTACCTCCCATGTGGGTCTCCTGCTCCCCTGTCATGGGGACACTGGGCGGGCACTGGGCCTCACCCCAAGCCCCGCCTGTCTCCTCACCCACTCCCTGTGGCTCCCCAGGGCAGAACTGTGCCCAGACGGGTGGGGTGGGGCGGGGCCTGGCGGGCCCGGCTCCTTCAGCCTTTTCTGTCCCTTTCAGTGGGGCCAGCAGGCTGCAGTGAAGTGGGTGCCCCCTTCCCAGCCCTGGCCCACCAAGCCGGGACCCAGCTTCCCTCACCCACACTTCTGAATCCTGACGCCTCCTGAGTCTCCTTCTTGCCCGGTCTGAGCAGGGTCATGGCCGTGAGGACAGGTGACCACAGTCAGGCTGCAACGAATGGGCTGAAGGAGAAGGTGCTGACGCTGGACACCATGAACCCGTGTGTCCGGAAGGTGGAGTACGCGGTACGAGGCCCAATCGTGCTGCGCGCGCTGGAGCTGGAGCAGGAGCTGCGCAAGGTAGGGTCCTGGGCCGCACCACCCCCTCAGAGCCGCGCTGGGGCGCTGCTGGCCCCACTCTCCCCCCACCCCTGAGCCGAATGAGACAAGGTCCGTTGTCACTGCCCCCGCCCCGACTCCACCCACCCCTCCCCCGCCACAGGGCGTAAAGAAGCCCTTCACTGAGGTCATCCGAGCCAACATCGGGGACGCACAGGCCATGGGGCAGATGCCTATCACCTTCCTGCGCCAGGTGAGGCTCAGTACTGCCCTGCACCCCTTCCCTGTCAGCCCAAGTGCCCTGGCCCCAGCACTCGCTCCTCCCAGGTCCTGGCGCTCTGCGTCCACCCTGATCTCCTGAACAGCCCTGACTTCCCCGACGACGCCAAGAGGAGAGCGGAGCGCATCCTCCAGGCATGTGGGGGCCACAGCCTGGGTGAGTGCCAGAACCTGCCCAAGCCCCAGGGAGGGGCAGGGGCAGGCGCTGGAGGAGGCTGTCCCCGGAGACGGGTGGATCTGCCCGCTGGAAGGGGCAGGTCCCCTCTGGAGGGATGCAAGGGGGCCTCACCTGTCCCACCCGCACGCCCACCCTGTCCTCCCTGTCCCCGGGCCCAGGGGCCTACAGCATCAGCTCTGGCACCCAGCTGATCCGCGAGGACGTGGCGCGGTACATTGAGCGGCGCGATGGAGGCATTCCCGCCGACCCCGATAACATCTTCCTGTCCACGGGGGCCAGCGACGCCATCGTGGTAGGCCGGGGCAGCGCGGGAAGACACCGCGGCTCCTACTGCGTGGCCGAGCGGGTCGGCTCGTCCTGGCACGGCGGCGCCCGGGGCGGGGGAGGGGTGCAGCCCTCGGCCCGCCAACCCCGCCTCCCTATCCCACCCACAGACGTTGCTGAAGTTGCTGGTGTGCGGCGAGGGTCGCACGCGCACGGGCGTGCTCATCCCCATCCCTCAGTATCCACTCTACTCTGCCGCGCTGGCCGAGCTCAACGCGGTGCAGGTGGACTACTACTTGGACGAGGAGCGCACCTGGGCGCTCGACGTGGCCGAGCTGCGGCGCGCGCTGCTCCAGGCGCGTGACCACTGCCGCCCCCGCGCGCTCTGCATCATCAACCCCGGCAACCCCACCGGTGCGCGCCCCCACCCGCCCCCTCCCCACCGCCCTGGCCCGAACAGGCACCCCTGCGCTCTGCGCCTGGCTCAGCCTGGCCCTCCGCCCGCCGCCCCGCGGAGAGCAGCGCGCCCCCTCAGCTGACCCCGGACCCGTCTGTGCCCCAGGTCAGGTGCAGACCCGCGAGTGCATTGAGGCCGTGATCCGCTTCGCCTTTGAGGAGGGGCTCTTCCTGTTGGCCGATGAGGTGCTGGCCGGGGCCCCCGCAGGGAGGGGTCGGAGGGCGGCGGCGCACGCCCCCGTGACGCACCCCGCTGTCGCCCGTCCGCCCGTCCAGGTGTACCAGGACAACGTGTACGCCGAGGGCTCGCAGTTCCATTCGTTCAAGAAGGTGCTCACGGAGATGGGGCCGCCATATGCGGCGCGGCAGGAGCTCGCCTCCTTCCACTCGGTGATTCTTAGCCATGTAATTCCTGTTCATCAGCAACTGAGTCCAAACTGGAACACCGCCAGGCCGACCCCTCCTTGCCGGCCCTGCCTCGACGCCCGCCCTCGCCTCGCAGGTGCGGCTTCCGCGGCGGCTACGTGGAGGTGGTGAACATGGACGCAGCGGTGCAGCAGCAGATGCAGAAGCTGCGGAGCGTGCGCCTGTGCCCGCCCACGCCGGGCCAGGTCCTGCTAGACGTGGCGGTCAGCCCGCCCGCGCCCTCCGACCCCTCCTTCGCGCAGTTCCAGGCGGTGAGTGGGCGGGGCCGCGGGGGTCAGGGCGCCGCGGCCCTGGCCCAGCCTGACTGGCCCTCCCTCCACGGCCGCAGGAGAGGCAGGCGGTGCTGGCCGAGCTGGCGGCCAAGGCCAAGCTCACGGAGCAGGTCTTCAACGAGGCTCCCGGCATCCGCTGCAACCCGGTGCAGGGAGCCATGTACTCCTTCCCGCGCGTGCAGCTGCCCCCGCGCGCGGTGCAGCGCGCTCAGGTCCGGCGGGCGGCGTGCGGGGCGGGGCGGGGCGGGGCCCGCGCGGCCTGGGCGCCCCCAGGAGCTGGGCCTGGCTCCCGACATGTTCTTTTGCCTGCGCCTCCTGGAGGAGACCGGCATCTGCGTGGTGCCTGGCAGTGGCTTTGGGCAGCGGGAAGGCACCTACCACTTCCGGTGAGGCTGGGCCCCCGCAGTCCTTCCCCGCGACCCCCACCCCATTCGCTTACCTTCTTCCGCCTTTTAGGATGACCATTCTACCCCCCATGGAGAAGCTGCGGCCCTTGCTGCAAACGCTGAGCCAGTTCCACACCAAGTTCACCCGCGAGTACTCCTGAGGACACCGCTGGGGGCCAGGCTGGGCCGGCAGAGACGACCCCGGGCGGACAGTGCTCAGGGTCTTGGGGTCTCTGGAGCCCTCTGGACTTGCTCCTGCTGCCTGTGTGGCTGGGCCCCTGCCTCTCTTCAGGCCCCTAATAAAGCAGTGGGCTGGCTTGGCTGCTTGGAGGGTGTGGGCACACCTGTATGCGCCCCCACCACCTTGTCCACTCCTGACTGCCTTTCTGTGTGGGGTTCTGTGCAGGCCTGGGGGCCCGGGAGGAGTGGTCAGGGAGGGCTTCCAGGGGAGGTGACCTTCTTACAGGATGGATTTGGCGGGATGGGGTGAGCACCGGGAAGCGGAGTGACCTTGAGGACTCAAGGGAGTGGTCTTGGTTCCCGTAACTGGGCGCGGGCAGTGGTGCTGCCACTTTGGACAGCTGGAGGAGCGGTGGTGCCGGCCCAAGAGCAGGGAGGGGAGGAAGAGCAAACGGGTCTCGCTTTGCCGTGTTGTGTGTGGTGTGTGACATCCACATGCAAATGCAGTTCTTGGGCTGGGAAGCAGTGAGAGGGGAGGCCCCCTCCTGAGCTGGGGCACCCAAAGGCAAGTTTGGGGGAAGAGGGCACGGAAGATGCCGAGGAAGAGGTGCCCTGTGGAGCTCTGGGCTGAAGGACCTGGGCTGGGGGCTGGCGGGCAGCCCTGTGTCCTTGACACTGGCGCGCGAGGATGCGCATGCCAGACACTGTTGTGGATCACTGCACAAAGGGCCCTCTCTGGTGGGCACTGTAGTCCCTGTTTCGTAGATGAGGAAACCTGGGCCCCCAAAATGTGTGGAAATGAATGGAAGCTCACTCCCCGTGGCCTCAGCAGCTGACAGAATGTCTTGGCTCAAGTGTCTGCAAGTTGGTCTAGGGGTTGGCAGGCCTCAGCGACCCACAGGCTTAGGGAGAGTATTGGCCAAGACCCCAGCTCCACTCTGGATGCGGTTCTTAACCATAGTCCCTGCTTCACTATCTCTCCTGGGCCTCAGGTGCCCCACACAGCAAGGCTCTGGGCAGGAGAGGACAGGGGAGGCACAGGTTTCTCGTCCCGAGGCCAGCTGGGGTCAGGCTGGGCCCGGCCTGGACTGGCTCTCCTGGCCTTGTCGCTAGACACTAGAGGGCGTTTCGGGCAGCAGCCGGGGGTCTCCTTGGGCTGAACGTGGGCTCAGGCCTTTCACACGAACTTCCTGCCTTCCACGACGCT